CTGTACGATCACGCGCCAGGGCATTTCAGACACCAGGGCGTTTTACCTAATAGAAAAGTAAGTTGTTACTTATATTCATTTAGAGGTGAGAGAGATATTCATTCAAGGTAAAATTGAAGCCCCAGAAAGAGCACAACATCTTGCAACCAGGATTCTTCATTGAAGGATTTGAAATATAACAGTAGGTTTAAATCCCTTAAGATTACAGATCTTTATACCAGAAAAAAATAGTTGATTTAATTCAAGTATATAAGATTGAAAAAACTTTTGAAAATGTTAAACTAATTAATAAATTTGTGTCGAAAGCATTTTAATCTAACAAAAAGAAAAACTGCAAAAATGACCGTGAAATAAAAAACTATTCGCCTAGGCACAACTTTTTATTTAACATTTTGTTTAGAATATATTAACTAATGATAAAGTTAATATATTCCAAATCATTCTGTAGCAGAATTTCTCTATAGACATTTTGAGCTTCTTACCTTTTTTGCGCATCGGTTACTTTATCGACCATTCGTAGCAGCTTTTAAATGTGGCTAGCATATGATTAGCATTTATAATACATGTTGAAAAGTTATCGGCTGGTGACTTATAGTGGATATATATGGTCAATTGAATTACATGGTCTATTAATAACAGATTAGTAAAACTGCTGTGGACCGCTCTTTATTTAGTTAAAAAGTAAGAGTTTTTCTTACCCAGTAAACATTCTATAGCGGATTTTCAATGGACTTATATAGGCATTTTAGGCGGTCCATTGTAATTATTCTCATCTGTTACTTAGTAAACAGCTGCCGAACGTATATTAGATGTTGGAAAGTTATCGGCTGGCCACTTATAGCTGATCCGCTATAAGTGGCCACTAAAAAACCGATGACCAAACCGATGATACTACTACAACTACTACTACTACTACTACTACTACTACTACTACTACTACTACTACTACTACTACTACTACTACTACTACTACTACTACTACTACTACTACTACTACTACTACTACTACTACTACTACTACAATTACTACTACTACTACAACTACTACTACTACTACTACTACTACTACTACTACTATTACTACTACTACTGCGACGACGACGACTTTTTAAAAGCATTAAAATAGTTGATGTAATAATATTTCCTTCATAAAAGACTTAAAAAAAAGAGTTAAAAAAATTGTTTATTTAATTTCTTTAAATACTTTTTAAAATTTCTGAATACCAAGCTTAAAATTCTTAACATCAGGTTTAAACTAATTATATTTTCATTAAACATAAAACAAACAAAACACGCCTTTTTTATTTTTACAAGAAGGAAAAAAAAAACAGAAAAATAATACGCTAACCATACTAACAGTTAGTAACAGCACTAAAAATAGATAACGTTTAACGATAAATAATTTTCGTTCTCTAAATTGAGTTCTCTTTATTTCTTTTTTTAAACCCAAATTAAGTTCTTTATCTTTAAATTCATCCAAAATACGCATCAAGACTAGCTCATAGAAAAAATTACGTTTAAAATAAACTTTGAATGCACTAAATGTCTACCAAATTATAGACATAATACAGACATGGATTTATACCATCTTATTTGATAAAAAAATCTATTTTTAACACTAGCGATTTCCGCAAGTCTCAACCGCTAAAAACAGAGATTTACATCCGTTTTTATATGTATATTTTATAAATACGTTGAAGTTAGGAATCTCATAATTCAAATTTGTTTTTTAATTTCAATGGTACAAGTTTTATTTTTTAAATAAAACTTTTACCATTAGAGACAACGGACGTAACGCTAAATTTAATTACCAAGTTTATAAACCTAGATCGATTTGAAGCAAAGACATTGTACTTTAGTGACTTGAATTTAAGTTTCGCGTTTTAATAAAATACATAAAAAATTGTATTTTAAAGAATGTTTTAAAAAAATAGGTAATTGGCCAACAAAATTTGAAAACAAGAGTATGTAACTGGGTCTTGTGTGTCATTTGACACACAAGACCCAGTTACACATAAAGTCACCGTGTGCATATGCACACAGTGACTTAATACAATACTTAAAAAAAAAAAAAAGCAGAAATTTTCTAAAAATTCTGAAACACCTTTAGTAATCATGAACTAAGCGTTGCGCATCTGAAACTTTCATTCTAAATTGTTTTATTTTAAAATAAGGATTTTCACAATTTTCTCAAATCAAAAATTTATATCAAATCAAAAAGTTAGTTACATCAAATAGTTATATCAAATCATAAAGTTACAAATTTTATATACTTTTTATATTATTGAAGTTTCATATAATATTACTGAATATAATTTTTAAGCATACTAAATATGCTTAAAAACTTTTTACGAGGTGGTTCTTTCTGTTTCCGGGATGGCTTTTTATATATGGGTAGAATCCTCGAAATATTTTAGTTTGATGCAATGACGAGTTAGCTTATTAGAAAATTGAAGACGCTGAAGTGTCTGATGACGTTGAAGTGTCTGATGACGTTGAAGTGTCTGATGCTGCTGATGCTGATTTAAAGTGTTTTAAAATTAAAATTACATCAAACATAAAAGAAAAAGACAAAAACAGGAAGACATCGACTGTGCTTCATGGGTCCCCTCTCTACTAGGATTAGTAAAAACTTTTAATTTACTGATCCTATATTTCAAAGTATGCTGAATATCTACCAATACCCCTCCAAGGAAAGTTATGACAATGTTTATTCTTTTGTTATTAAATAAACTTTTTGCGAATACTTGTAGATCAAGATATAGAAAATGTTTTTTGAATTAGAGCCTAAGATCTTCTTAGCTCTGCTATTTGGATAGCGTTGCGTACAAACGTCTGTAAGTGTAAACGTCTTTAGCAAATGTTGAGTTTGCAGGCAGTATATCCCAGTCAGCCATTTGATATCATATTTATATCCTATTGATCTCATACTGTGAGACCTATGGTATCATAGTATGATACGTTTATGAGATCAATATGATATCAAAATGAAATCACACAGTTATATCAATTTGAGCTCAAATTTGATATCATAATTTGAGAACCTTATTTATCAAAAGTTGATATCATCCTGTACTCAGAATAAGATGTCATATTTTGAGAAGTTTATGATATCATGATTTTGTCAAAATGAAAGCACACATTGATATCACCCCGACTTAAAAATTTGATAACACACACACACATATATATATATATATATATATATATATATATATATATATATATATATATATATATATATATATATATATATATATATATATATATATATATATATATATATATATATATATATATATATATATATATATATATATATATATATATATATATATATATATATATATATATATATATATATATATATATATATTATTGTTATGATTATATATAATGAATGAATTTTCGACAAAAACGAAAACACAAAAAATTATATGTTTATAATTATAATAAACTTATATTGTGCAAAAAATAATTTTTTAAAACAAATTCGAAAGTGTTTTTTAAACAAAAACGTAAATATCTTAAATTTATAACATTTAAAAAATAATATTTAAAATATATTTGAAACTGTTCTTTAGCAAACTACACAATCTTTTCATCAGTATCAAGTTAATCCGAGATTTAAGATTTATCTTTGGTTTATCGATTTAATCTAGGATTCTAAATTTAGATTTTGTCTTTGCATTGAGTTTATAACTGAAATTCAATATTTTGATTAGTTTTCTTGAAATATATATGTTTCCAATATCTTGCTTCTACGTCAGTAGAAGACTTTTCTAAGACTTTTATGTTATTTTGTATCAAAACTACCATTATAAACTAAAAAAAATAATAAAATAACAATATCAAATTTTTCGTCAACAAATTTGTTTTTGTAATTTTGACTTTGGTAGCTTTATAATAAAGCTAGGTTTCGAAACCTAGCTTTATGATAAAGCTAAACGTAGCCCTATGATAAAGCTAGGTTTCGAAAAGAAGATCATAAGGATCATATCATCAGAATCTATTATTATTTAACGTCTTTTTTTGTTGTTAGTTGTTAAAAAAAAAAGATGTGTAACCCCCTTATAAGATCTCTTCGGGACATATAAAAATAAACTTCTGGATGGTTGCAGGTCTTTAAAGCGAAAAGTTTAAAAGCGAAAAGATGTTTAAGTGAATTTTTCCTTCGTTCTTTTTTAACAATTATACAGCCTGGTTTTTATCTTTGTTTCTTCAAAACAATGTAAAATAAAGAATTTTTTATCAATAATTTAAATAAATATTTTATCAAAAATTTTGTATTATTAATTTTACTACTTTAAGTATATAAAATATTAGTTTTTATTAAAAAAAAAATTCTAATAGTTAAAAGTTTTCAAATAGAAACCAGCAACTGTTTTTAACCGTTTTTCGTTACGCTTTAGTTTTTCACTTTAACGACCTTGAATTTAGAAATGAACGTTTATAAAATACAAAGCTATATTATTATTTTTTACAATTTTTTATTTTTTGTAGTTTTTAAAATTTTGTTAAAAATTCCATGATATTTAACATTTTTTTAGTAAAAGGGGTGGGGTTAATTTTATTGACTGTAAGATTGTTGTATGAAGTGAAAAGTAAAAAACAAAACAAAAAAAAAAAGCAACAGTACTTTCAATAAAATTTTTCTACAAGTTATTAGCATTTTTAATTTTTATCAGTTATAATAGGAGCTTGGTCTATAATCTAAACAAAATTTCCTTACCTAATATTTGATTTTAGATTTTAGATTCGAAACTGCAATTATTTTTGTTTTGTTTTGTTTGTTTTGTTAAGAAATTATACAAGTTAATAAATCTATTATGAATGCTAGTGCAAATAATAAGCAAAATATGAATCTATAAAACTATTATAAATTAATACTGTATCTATTGATATTATCACACAAATATTTTGGTGGTAATATCAATAGATAAAAAATTAATTTAAAAGTTTTAGCATTTGTTTTGATTTTTTTGATATTTCAAAATATTATTATTATTTTTTTTCAGATTTAAAAATTGAGTTCTAAACAGTTGATTAAAGGAATTGTGCATGTAAATACATGTAACATGTAAATGTTAATGATATTTGATCAATAAAATATCTAGAAAAAAAATTGTTGAAAAATGCAACTATGACAGCAAAAATAAATTTTGTTGCAAGTAAAACTAGAAACCAGGTTGATAATGTGGATTGTATAGAAGAGCAAAATTATAAATTTTGGGCACAACCAGAAAATTTTGATACTGCTGGCGAAGTTGAAATAAGTAGTTCATTAACGGAAAACCATGGTAGCTTTGTTTACTATATATATATATATATATATATATATATATATATATATATATATATATATATATATATATATATATATATATATATATATATATATATATATATATATATATATATATATATATATATATATATATATATATATATATATATATATATATATATATATATATATATATATATATATATATATATATATATACATATACATAAATATATATAATAATTTGATATATAGCAAAATTTGAGCTTAATCGGACAATGTTTAATGGTAGCAGATTTAAATTGAAATTTTCTAATTTTTAGTATATAAATCTAATACAAATCTGGGGACAACCTAAGATATATTTTTTTTACTTAATTCTGATTTGAAGAAGAATTTTAGTATAAAGAGAATAGTATAAATAAGTTTAAAAACCAGGTATGCTATTTGGGGAGGGCCGATGGAATGGTTGCGGTCACCTATTTTAAAAACTTGAGTTTTTTTTTTCAGCTACAGTCATGTGACAATTTATTATGGCCAATTATGAGTTTAGATCATTTTGAAATTTAATCTCATTTTTTTCATATGAAGAATAAAAGTTCATTATTGTAAGTTAATCTTTTGTTTAAAATAAAGGTTTAACTCATAAAATCGGTGCTTTTTTTTATGCTACTAGTAACACTGTCAATTTTGACAGCCATTTTGTATAATGTCCTCTTAGTTATAATCTTTTTGCTGTACACTTGTTGAGTTTTATTACCAGAGTTTTGAATTTGTTTATTAAGTTATCTTCTAAATATTTATTTATAACTGTAAAAATATTGTTTCTTGAATATTTTTTGTTGTTGTTGTTGTTGTTGTTGTTATTTAGGTGCCTCGAGAAGACCTAACGGTCTTGTCACAGAGCACCGCGGAAGTGCATTTAACCAGGAAGTTCATGCCTCTTTCCTTACCGTGATGCGAAAATATGTCCAGAGCTCATTTTGAGCCTGGATCTCCTGCTTATTAAGCAAGCACTTTAACCACTGCGCCATGACCGCATCTTTTTTTTTCAAGTAAAAATAATTGTATTTGATGTGATATTTCTAAAGTTATGTGTACCTAAGCAAATTCTTAACTGTGGTACTGAAATGCGATATCTTATTTCAGTTATGGGGAAAAAAAACAGACTTGTTACCAAAAAAAGTTGCAGAAATAAGGGCACTTTTAATAGATAATAATCTTTCTCAACAAGAAACGGCTATAAATTGTAGTATTATGCAGGTTTCTGTAATACTTATTGGATTGTATTATTTAAACCAGATCATTACAGAGGTGGGGCTCTGTGATGATCTGGTCAGTGATATGTGGAAAGGGAATGGGGAGGCTCTATATTGTCATGGGAGTAATGAATCAGTTGTAATATAAGAAAATCCTGGAACAAAGATTTTTGCCACAATTAGCAGAATGGTTTGGTCCAGGTATGAAAAATTTCATACAGCAAATTTTTTTTTAACATCTTCACTTCACAAGCAACCGCTATTAGAGTTAAAAACTACTGGAAGAGAAAAGATGAAGTTTATAAAGCAAGATAACAATTAACAGATGACTTAAAAGATTGCAAATTATGCAAACAGAAAAACAAGATGAAGGAAGCGAATTCCGAAGAACTGATGTTCCAGGAAAAAAACTAGATGAATAAAAATTTTGAAACACTTAGGAACAGTCACAGTAAAAGGATAAGACTTAATTGAATGACAAGTAACAGAAGAATGAATTTTAGAAGAAGGTACAAAAGACACAAGCTCTTTAGAGCAGCGTTCATTATTGTATTTATAGAAAAGAGAAGGAGAAGAAACATTTCAACAATATAACAATGGTTGAATGTTGGCTGCAAGAGCAGGTCCAACTATGTTTACAATGCATTTTTGCACCTTGGCTAAAAGAGAAAGGGCATCATTCAAAGGTCGGCTCCAGATTTTGCAACAGTTTTTCATACAAAGATGGATTTGAAATTTGTAGAGATAAAGAATAGAACCCAGAATAAGAAAATGGCAAGCACGATAAAACTTTGGCAGATGCTAATTTTGCACTGAGTTTGATATATGGTTTCCAAGAAAAAATGGAAGTAAGAGTTAATCCTAGAAGATGAAGGGTAGATGATTCATAGAGTATATAACTGTTCATACAATGATTAGCTAAATAAAATTTTTTATCTGAATTAAAGTTCACCAGCCTCTGAGAACCCATGCTGTAGCAAAAGTGAGATCTTTTTTAAGCTCAAATGCCCTTCTAAGCAATCAGAGAGTGTTGGCTTCTTATCAGGACAAGAATAAATGGTAGTATCATTAGCGAACAATGCCACTTTAGATGTGAGAATTTTTGGGAGATCGTTAATGTAAATTTAAAAAAAAATAGAGCCAAGGATCAAACCTTGAGGAACCCCTGAAGTTACAGGAAATGAAAAAGAGTGCTGTCCATCAAGGACATTTTTTTTACGACAATTGGTAAGGAAAGATTTGATAATCTTAAAGATGTTACCTGATACACTATAAGAATAGAGCTGATGGAGAAGATCAGCATGCCAAACTTTATTAAAGGCTTTAGAAATGTTGAGAGCAATAGTCTCTACATCTAGTGCATGATAAAACCTATCAGTTATTACTGTTAACAAATCAACATTTAAACAAGATGATCATAATTCATATTGATGATCAGAAAGTTGTTAGATTCAAGATGAGAGATTCCAAGAATAAAAGAAGTTACATAAGAAACACATTTGTCAGCAGAAAGACGAAAAATTTCTACTCAAGGGCCATCACAAAGAAGATCACAGAGAGAGTCTCAGTCATCTTCAAGGTAGTTGTAAGAGGCACAATTAGATGGGATTTGAAAGCAGGTTGGAAATTTCACTATTTGTGCCTTTGGTAACAACTACTGCATAGTAGTTGTTACAAAAGGTACAAAAAGTTTTACCAACTACATGCATTTCAGTAGGTGAAATATATGCAGTAGTTGTTACAAAAAGGTACAAAATATAAATAAGAAAATCAAAGGATCAATGATATAGTCAGATTGAGTTTGAAAAAGAACCATGTGCATCTGACATAAAAGGTTAGAAATGCTAAAGGAAATCATGGAATTTTGATTACACCATCATCAAAAAAAAGCGGAGTTGCTTGATAGTTGATGATAAATAAAAACATTAATTGTTCAGGATGAAATATAAAGTTACCAATGAAATAAACCAAAATGTATCTTATTATTATATATTATAAATCAAATGGTGTACTTATATCAAAATAATTATGTTTCCTTTGATGGCACTTAGCACAATGTATACTTTGTATATAAAAGTCAATATAGATGTAGATAAAATGTTTGAACTTTGTGAAACCAATATAAAAAACATTTGATTTATAATGGTTAACAAAACAAAAGTAAATGAAGTTTGATCATCATTAAAACCAAAGTTTACTTTGAAGAACTTTGCCAGAGATAAGATGCTTTCACCATTTTATGCCAAACAACAAATATAATTTTTTTAGAGTCAATCAAATGATGCCGAGTTTTTCTTGGCTCACACGAGAAAACATACATCTGGTTCCCACCAAATCATGTTTTATGTACCATTAACTATCTACCATTTACAAAAAATGGCCAAGTATAAAAATTTCAGAAATTGAGTTGGCAAAAATCATTGAACAAAATAAACAAGATTTATAAAAAAAAATTGTTATTTTTTCAAATATATTTAAAATATAACTGTATGTATGTATGTATGTATGTATGTATGTATGTATGTATGTATGTATGTATGTATGTATGTATGTATGTATGTATGTATGTATGTATGTATGTATGTATGTATGTATGTATGTATGTATGTATGTATGTATGTGTATGTATGTATGTATGTGTGTGTGTGTTTGTGTATGTATGTATGTATGTTTGTATGTATGTATGTATGTATGTATGTATGTATGTATGTATGTATGTATGTATGTATGTATGTATGTATGTATGTATGTATGTGTGTATGTATGTATATATGATATATTCAAATGCTATTTTAAGGGAAAGGATGCTAGGGTTTTTTTAGGGTTTCACGTCTTTATTGCAGTAGTTAATAACTTTTCTTGGCTTTTTATAAATAATTTTTATTTTAATAAAACTCCCTCCCTAGATCAATAAAATCCTGTTTTAAAGAAAATTCAATATTTTTACTCGTACTTTTTAATTTTTGAATTTTCTTATTTATACTTGGGGTATGTATTTATTATTTATTCTATTTATTTTTGTTTTTAAGTAATTAAAAAATAATATTTTTTGTTTCTTTTTTATTTTACATAAATTGTTATCTAAAATTTTTTATTTCAGATTTGCTGTCTTTTGAAACATCAGAAAAATTTTTCGAATCATCCACCATAAAAATAGAAGATATTTGCGATTCAAAGGTTTTAGAACGGAATATTGACCAAAGCCTTCAAGATCAACAGCATATAGATAAGAAACGTGAAAATGATAAACTACAGGTTAAATTCATGAATGATGAATACCAGAAAGCTATTGGTTATTTACTTTGCGCTAATAAATCCAAAAGTGGCAAGCAGAAAAAAAAACAAACAATGACTGCTTATTTATTTTTCTGCAAACGCTATCGCCCGAAAATTGTTGCACGCAACCCTAAGCTTACTTTTACTCAAATGAGTAAGTTGTTATCCCATATGTGGCGCAATGCATCTGAGCATGAAAAAAATACGTTCCGTTTAAAACTTAAACATCATCGAACAAAAGTAAACGCCATTGTTGAGAAAAATTTGATTGAAAAAATGAAAATCGTGAAACAAGAAAAGCAAAATGCGAAGAAAAAAATGGCTTGTGAAGCAACATGAATAGATTTCGAGGTGTTTAAAAAAGTGTTTTTTTTTTTCTCCCTCTTAAAAGAAATTCATTTTATGAAGTGCTAAAGTTAATTATTTTTAAAATGTATATATTAACACAAAAACTAAATAGTTTGTCTATTTGAAATTTATTTCATTTAATTTTAACGAATAGATAAATTTTTTTTTCTGGTGGCTTCATATAATGTTTTTGTTCATTTATCAAACCCATATTGTAACTTAAGAGACCGGGTGAATAAAAATAAGCAATTGCTTTTACTCAGTAATTGGTCAGCTTAACGTGAATAAAAACTTATGCAGTTTTTCTCAAATTTTTATTCACGTAAAGTTAAGCTATTTACTCAGTAATTGCTTAGCTTTACGTGAATAAAAATTGAACCAAAATTCCTAAAGTTCTTATTCACGTAAAGCTGACCAATTACTTGTTCAGGATGGAAAAAGGAAACATAAAATCAATTGCTCATTTTTATTCACCCGGCCTAAGAATTCGTAAAATACTAATAATTATATTTTAAGAACCGCAACCCATTAATGATTTTAAAAATCTAATAGCGTACCGTTTGTGTTCTAAAAATAGAACTACTTAATGAAGCGCAAGTGATTGTGGGATTGATATTCGGACAAACAATTTAATAAACATGAAAAGCAATAGTCCTACAAAGTACTGTTCTTGGGGAATTTTTAGATCAGATTTTAGATATAGTGACAGGTTACCTCCAGGTACATTTTTTATAAAGTTTCCTAAATCTGGAAATAATTAAGAAATAATGACTGGCAAAATCAAATAAAAACTTTTCAAATTAAAAACATTGCTTCATATGTTTGAAGATAAGATTTTCACAAAATTGCTAAAACATTGGTGATTAAAAATTAAAAAAGTAGTATATAGGCATTATTTGATTTTGTTGGTCCAGCAAAATATAATTTAAGTTACTAGAATTCCACAAACAAAGATATTACACAAAAGAAACCTAACTAATTATAGCCCTGTTTTACCTTTAAAAGTTGTAAACTTATAAGGAACATCTTCGTTAGAACCATGATACTGAAATATAGCAAAAATTGAGAACATTATCTGTTTTATTTAGCAAATACAAATTCTAACCTTGCTGCCTCTATTTGCCAAAATTTTTAAACATCTGAAACTTTAGATGTTAAAATAAAATAAAAAAGTAACTTAGTCCTAAGCCAATAGTATAACTATTTAGATACATAGCCATGAAAATAACTGTTTTGACAATATTATAGGTCTGTTACACATTGATCAGTCAAAAATCTTTCAGAAGCAATTATCTTTTCAGAAGTTTCAAAGAAGACATTAACTACGTAACCATTTAACAAAACAGAAAAAGTAAAAATGTTATGTGTGCACTACCAAGACAATTTGTAACCCAGTTGCATCTTGTTGTTTTAACAGTTTTTTTAGTTGCACGCTGCTGTTTTGACTACTACTAATGCTTATTGTGCCAGTTATATTAATGGTAGATGTGTACGTAAATAATAAGTACTCACAGAAGAACCAATTTCATTTAAAGTATTAATCAAAACAATATTGTCTTGAATATTTTAAATGTAACAGATATCAAAATTTTCTGTCCTTTCTTAAAAAGGCTTAGTTTTATTAGTTGCAGTTATTTTTACTTAAATTTACATCTTTTTCCACCTTTTTTGTCTATGACACTCAATCCATCATTTTATCTTGGCGACATTAAATTCAAAAAAAAAAGTATTTTTTAAAAATGCTTCAGGATCATTTCAACTTACAAAAAACCGCGTTCAAATTTTTTCCAATGCCAATATAACGAAATGAAATTACTTAAGATATATGTATTAAATGTATTCAATATCTTATGTTTTATATATATATGGAAAAATAATTTAGTTCCCAACGTTTTTCAAAACATCTTTACTTTAAAACCTCTCTATAAATATACCCTAAGAAATAATGATTTGCTAAATCAAATTTTTTGTCGAACCAAATTTATTCAATTTTGTATTGATTATCGTGCACCATGTCTTTGGAATAAGGTTTTTTTGCAAAATTTTGATTCGCCTTCTTCTTACCCTGTTTTTAAAGCTAAACTTGAAAATTTTATTCTTTCCACGGACAACGTACTTATATACTACTAATAATAACATTCTTAAGTAGTTAACTTTCTATTATTACTAAGAAAATCATTTTTGTTTATATCAAGTCATTTTACTTTGTTTATATATTTTTTTTATTATTTTGTGTAGTTTATCATTGTAAATTTGTGAAAGGTACTTGTAATTAGTACTTTTTTTTATTATTATCATAATATAATTGTACAACGACAAACTAATGTAAACATAAATATATATATATATATATATATATATATATATATATATATATATATATATATATATATATATATATATATATATATATATATATATATATATATATATATATATATATATATATATATATATAAACTTGTATCACAATCATAAGTCTTATAAGAAATACATTACACTTTTAGAGATGTTATGCTTACAAAAATGATATATTTGTCCGAATATCAATCCCAGAATTCTAATTAGAAAAATTTCGTGATATCGACCAATCGGTACGCTATTGCTTTATTTGACGTTAGATAAATAATGACTCCTAAATCACGCTCTTTAGTAGACCTTCCTTGGAATTGATTTATTATACCTTTTTATTTTATTTGCTATTTATTCCAAAATATCTTAATTTTAAAATAAGTATGTTATGAGGTAGAGAGTCAAACGCTTTGGCTGATTCGATATTACATCAGTAAACTGGTGAAACGCCATAGAAGACATAAAATATTAAAGTCTCTATTAGATTAGTTATGCATGACTTATGGTAAAGAAAGCCATGTTGATTTGCAGAGAGCATAATACTATCGTTAACGTGCCTAAAGATTTTATTTTTTAAAAGTTTTTCAAAAAATTCACAGGCAACAGAGGTTAGTGAAATAGATTGATAATTTTTAACTTTGGGTACAAAATATTCGCAAATAGTACGGTTGTTAGAAACTAATGAATAAATCGTTTGATCCGCGGTTTTACTCCATAAAACCGCATTTGATCCGCGGTTTTATGAAGTAAAACCGCGATTGATGCAATAAAGTTCAATATTAAGTCGTAATCACCTTCGTTGTAACTAAACAATTTACGGGAAACGGTTCTGAAACTAAGAATCTCCAAATGATACTAAAATGACCTTCAGTATTATTACCTAGTATAACTTTAAGAAACAAGTTTAAAATAGAATGTTTGATTTATATATGATTTAAGCAACCACAGGGTGTCTGGAAATAAGAAATGTGATATGTTGTGTAAAAAGGCTGTTTTAGTCAATATACCAGAAATCATATTAGCTAGAATTGTTTTGGTTGAAACATTTAATACCATCATTAGACCATTTTGTATTCGAGAAGTTAAAATCATCGACAATGAAGCAGCCATCAGATACTCTTGTTCGAGTAGACTTTTATAGAACTGATTAACTTCATGAGATTTCTCGAAAAAAACACTTTCAATAATGAAACTAAAAACAAAAATTATAAACGTATTTTTGAGATGGTTATTAAAAAGTCAAACAAGTATTACTATACAGAGCATTTGATAATACATAAAAAAAAATTACTTGGAACATAATTTAGAAAGTAATTGGTACAAAACAAACTGACATAGTCTTCTTATAAATCTAAACATTGAAAGTAAAACAAATAAATCTTTAACTGCTGAAAGACTTAATCAATATTTTGTCGATGTCGATTTTAGATTCCACTTTAGTGTCAAAATAGTAATTACTGACGTAAATTTAGAGTCATTTCTAACTCCTAATAAGACCTCTAAGATGGATAACTATGGAATTACTGAAAAAGAACTCTTCGATGCAGTATATCTTTTAAAATTAAACAAAAGTGTGGGGTTTGATAATATTAGTAGTAATGTAGTAAAAAAAATCGATAAAATACTTAACAATCCCTCTTTTATATATTTTTAATCTCTCTTTAAAACTAGGTATTTAACCGGAGAAACTTAAAGTTGCGAGGGTCATACCTATTTTTAAATCACGAGACATTTCTAATTTGAAAATCACAGACCGATTTCAATTCTCCCTTGCTTCTCTAAAATCTTAGAGCAAACTATGTATAATCGAGTTTTGACTAAATATAAATAATATTCTATATATTAAACAACTTAGATTTCTGCCAGGGTAATGACCATGTCACTATTAATATTGTTCACGATATAATTAAAGCATTTGATGAAAGTAAATTTACCCTCAGAGATTTTATAGATCTTAGCAAAGTCTTTTTATACAGTAGACCATAACATTCTTATAAAAAAAATTGAAAGTTATGATATTAAAAGCACATATTTAGAATGGTTCAAAAGTTATCTAAACAATAGAAAACAATATATATAACATGAAGAAGGAAAAACTGATTACATGACTATTACTTGCGGTGTACCTCAAGGCTCAATTCTGGGTCCTCTTTTATTTCTTATTTATGTAAACAATTTCCATAAGTTTTCAAACATTTTAAACTCAATATTATTTGCAGATGACACGAATTTATTTTGTTTAATGGAGATACCTGGTGAGAAATTGCCTAGCGAATAGCTAGCTATATTTGCAACAATAAAGACAGCAATTTGGCCACGAATATGAACTATCGCCTGCCCCCTTTTTTTTTGCAAGGACCTGTTGTTTTAGAAATATAGGCAATTATTTTAGAAATTATGGATTTTATTTTAGAAATTGAGGGGTTGACCGCCTCCACTTTGAAGGCCGTGTCAACGCCATTGTCATGAACCAATTCAAATCACGCTTTAAGTAGCAAATCACAATTTTGGTCTATAAAATAAAAAATGTACATGTACCGATAAAATAATTATAACAAAAGTTGTTGGTATTAGAGTGACCGAATTTCAAAGTAATCGGTAACGCTTTGAGGTATAAGTAGCGAAAAACTGACAAAACTTAAACTAAAACTGCAATAAATCCTACACCAGTCATCCATACTGGCTGAAATTTTGTCCAGAGTTTGGTGTGACTATTGGCTACATTTGCACCAATTTTTATCAAATTATATTATATAGTGGTTCAAATT